AGAGAGAGGGAGCGAGAGAGAGAGAGGGAGCGAGAGAGAGAGAGAGAGGGAGAGAGAGAGAGAGGGAGAGAGAGAGAGAGAGATGGCCCGCCCGCCCCGCCGCGGCGTTACGTGAGCCCTGCCGCGGAGCGCGAGATCGCTCCCCCCCTCTCCCCTCCGCCGCGGAGCCCGAGTAAGTATCACCTCCTCCTGTATTGTATACCGCCTATCGAGTTGGTCGTCTTGGTGGTATCGAGCGCGTTCTCTTCAGAACATCGTCCGTCAGGAGAGTCCTCCCGCCCCGCTCTTTGAGCAGCTGAGACAAGATACACAGTAAGCCGACTGCAAGCCGTCGCCTCCGCAATAATAAGAGCGAGGCACGTGCGTTCCGCCCCGGGTGGGTTTGCAGCAGCGGTGGGGATTCGCGCCAGGGCAGCCGTTAAACTGCGGAGCGGGTCTACGCAGCAGCAGCAGCAGCAGCAGCAGCAGCAGCAGCAGCAGCAGCAGCAGCAGCAGCAGCAGCAGCAGCAGCAGCGTGTCTTTGCGACAGTGTTCGGCTCACGTGCCTGTGCAAACACCTGACCGGCGGCCCGGCACCTGACCCACCCCAAGCGGCCGGCAGCAGCCCGGCCGGAGCCGCGAGGCAGCAGCGCGAGCAGCGGCGGCGGTTGTGCAGCGTCACCGCCTCTCGGGACAGAAGGGCGTCGCCGCCGTCGCCGCCTAGGCCTAGAGGCCGCCGCCGCGACGCCTGACAACAAGCGGCGGTAATCCCGTCACGTTCCGCGTCCTCGTCGCGCCCTGACGCTGGCGGGGCGGGGCGGGGCGGGGCGCGCGCAGCTCCCAAACCACTCGACCCTAATACGTATGCAGTGGATATGCATGCTCGCGCCCCCCGAAACCGAATGCATGCGAAACACACCATTAAATACGAGGAAAAGAGATGAAAAAAACTTATGGCCGCATGGTGTAAGCCGGCGAGAGAAACGATAACAAAAAGGAAAAATTGGCGAAATAAACAATTTTATATTTGCGCCCATAGCGAGAGTGGCCGCGATCACGCGCCGCAGTGTGGGGGATTTAGGAAGGGTTGGCAAAACGCCGCGCCCTGTTGTTGGTACAAACGGAGCGTATGGAAGCAAATAGTTTACGGTAATCCCGCCGAGAGGGAACCGGAACACAAAGAGGAAAGCAGCACGACACGTCGCGCTTCGAATCGGGACAAGAAAAAGTTTTCTAAACTTTGTGTACGACGCGGCCGAGTGGCCTGGTGGATGCTGCTGTGGGCCGTTCCGTGCGTGTGGCGGAGGAAGAGTAGCTAGCTATATATGTACTATCCGGTGAAGTCATTGGCTTCGGCCGCGCGAAAAAGAGGCCCCCCATACGAGACCGAGACAGCCTGATAGGATCGGCGCTGCGGTCGCCCCCCATGGGCAGGAGGGGGCCCGCGCCGGGGGCGGGACCAGACGAGGAGGCGGGGGGGGGAGGGGGACGAGTTCCCCACGGGGTCCCCCGGGCTGGGCGGCCAGTCCAGGACAGGGGGTGTCCTTGACGGGCCCGAGGACGGGGAAAGAGAGAGGGGGAGAGAGGGGGCAGTTAGAACACGAGGCACAGCGAGTGAGAGACGCGCAGGGGAAGGGTGAAGGTGAAGGGGGAGGGGGGGATAAGTTTGAGAGGCGGCCCGGTCGGCGCCCCCCCAATCCTCCGCAGCCATTATCCTGCTCGTGTTGCTCTCGAGACGCGCCGCCGAGCCCCATTCCTGCAAATCCTGTCCGCCCCGCCCATCTTCTGCCACGCACTACTTCTCCCGCGAGGCGTCGTCGTCGGTGCGGCGGCGGCGGCGTCTGACTTTTGGACCTTTACAACGAGGACGGAAAGAGTAGTAGTGAAGGCCCTAGAGGAGCCCGACGTGGAGCAGTGGCCACCGGGGCCGGCAGTCAGCGCCCAGGCCACAGGCCAGGCGTAGCCAGGCGAGCCAGGCGCCAGTCCCAATCACGGCCAATGAATGAGACGGACACGTCGGGGAGGGGCGGGGTGGGGAGAGGCGCGGCGAGGCGGCCGGTCATTTCGCAAGTGGCTGTACCCGCCGCCGAGCAGAGGCAGCCGACACAGAGCGAGACTGCCCTCCCCCCTCCCCTACCCCCCTCGGCTCTCTCAGGCCGCGCCTCGTCTGGCCGTGTGGCGCCGCGGTCCTCGCCACGCCCCGCCATGCCCCGCCAGCCACACTCCGCCCCGCCGGCCGCGGCTTGTCCTGGTGTCCTTGAACCGAGGCGCGCGGCGAACGAGAGCGGGAGAGAGAGAGAGAGAGAGATGCGAGGCCCGTGTGGGCCGTGGGTCCATGTCACGTCGTCGACGGGGTCCTCGCTGCGGCCGGGGCCCCTCCACTGCTCCTGCCTCCGGTCGCCCGCCGCCAGCTGTTACGTCACCGGGTCCCGCCCCTGCAGGGGTGAAGTGAAGGGGAGGAAAGGGACGGCGAGACACGTACCTGCTTCCGCTTGAGGCGCTCCTCGGCGCGCAGCTTGTAGGCGGCGAGGCGGCGCTTGAGCTCCGCCTGGCCGCTCTGCTCCTCGCCGAGCAGCAGGTAGGCCCGCCAGTTGGACGAGTCGAAGCCCCAGTGCACGGTGCTCGTCTCCGGGTGGCGGTGCGCGTGCGAGACGAACTGCTGCGGCCCGAAGAGCAGCCTGCACTCGAGGCACTCGATGGAGCGGGCCAGCGGCTCGTCCGGGCGGCACAGGCCCGCCGCGCGGCCGAAGCACTCGTGGTACACCTGGAAGCCCTCGTCCGCGGGCGGCTTGCCCTCCTTGTACGCCTCCTTGACGGCGACCCCGCGCGGCAGCAGCGCGGCGCACAGCCGCTCCGCGTCCGTCTGCGTGATGAGGCCGCAGGAGGCCGCCGTGGCCGGCAGGGTGCCCGTGGCCTGCAGCTCCTCCAGCTGCTCCGCGTTGCAGCGGCTGCAGTAGATGTGCAGCTCGTCGCACACCGAGTTGATCTGGTTGAGCGAGAAGTCGCGCAGCACCGAGTTGAGCACCTGCGGCAGGCACAGCCGCTTCTCTCCGCCCACCACGAAGCAGGCGATGAGCTCGCCCTCCAGGCCCGTGTCCACGCGCTCGGCGCGCCCGTCCTCGCCGCGGTCCGCGGCCGAGAGCAGCGGCGCGCTGTGGATGAAGGGCCGCGGGGACGCGGGCGCCGCCGCCTCCGCGCCGCTGCCGCTGCTGGGCGGCGAGGGCCGCGAGGGCCCCGGCGACGGCGACCGCGAGCGCGCCCGGGACGCCGGCTCCGGGGAGGACGTCTTGGGCGGGCGCGCGTCCGCGGCCGCGAGGGCCTTGCCGTCGGCGGCGCCTGCGCCAGCCGCGGGCGACAGGTTCACCAGCACGGAGGTCGCCAGCTTGCTGTCCAGCTTGCTGGGGCCGTGCAGGCTGCGCTGCGCGCTCAGCTGGTACGACTTGAGCACCTTCTTGAGGTGCGGGTTGCAGCCCTGGCCCAGGGGCTTCACGCCCTCCATGGCTGTCTCCTCGCGGTGGCCGCGGTCTGCTCGGGGCAGCGGCCTCGGCAGTGGCCGGCCCGTCCCCGTCTCCTGCTGTAGTGCTGCGGGTCGGGGCGGGGCGCGCGCGCGCTCACCATCGGGGCGGCGGGCTGCGGGGCCTGCCGGGGTGCGCACAGCTCGCACAGCCTGGCGGAGCCGGCGGAGCGCTCCCGCTGCCAAAAACGACACCACTTGGCCGGCCGGCCGTCTCGCTGATCACACAGTCACACACTGTCACGCTGTTTCGTCACTCTCACTTCACTGTCACCATCACTCCGCTCGCACTGCGCTGATCACTCGGACGCCGGTCGGTCCCGTCGGTCCATCGTAAACACGATCGGCTTCTAGTCGGAGCGCGCGGCGGGCGTCCTCCCTCGCGTCAGGTCGGCCTGCTCACGCACGCGGAGCGGACAAGACTACGGTACTACAGGCGGCGCGGCGGCGCGCGGCTCAAGCGTCCTCGGGCAAAGCCGGCCCGAAGCAGAGCCGAAGCCGGCCCGAAGCAGAGCCGAGCCCGGGCCGGCCGGGGCGGGGAGCGGCAGGGGGTGCTACCCGGACAGGCCAGCCAGCCGGCTCTCCGTGCGACGGCCACCTGGGACCACCTCCGTAAAATGGCTCTGAATGGTCGAGCTGATCGGGAGCCACTCGGAAATTTTAAGAATGAAAAGCGGTCACATCAGTTTTTATCTGCTCCCCGCCACTGTACATGTTTGCTCTTTCAAGTCGCTTTGCAGCCATTTCAGGGTCGATTTATCGCCAAAACGCTGCCATGAGTGTTTTATCATTCGAATCGCGAGCTACTCTACATACACGACTTCTGAAGCAGGACGCGAGTTGTTTTCTTTGCCTTTCTTTGCGCTTTGGGGACTCCGGTGAGATCCCTTTTTATTCCGCCAAGTATTCCGCGCCGCTCGGACCAGAAGCGACGACGCGGACCGACCGACCGGAAGTCGGCAAAATGAGGCGGGGCTTTCGCCTACATGAATACCGTGCGCGATGTGGCGTATGTGCGCACAGCACCGCCGCACACCGTGCAGCAAGGGTTGGGAGCGAGAGAGAGGGAGCGGGAGAGAGGGAGGAGGGAGAGAGAGGGAGAGAGGAGGCCAGAGTCTTCCTAGGGCTGGCCCTAGCGGCCCTCGTGTCAGAGGTGCGCAGAGCAGCCGAGCGGCAGCCAATCACAGCGCTTTGGTATCGCCTGGGAGCCGGCCCGGCCAGAAACCACCCCGTCTGAGGCTAGTCTGCAGGCGAGCCGACGCGCGCTCAGCGGAGGGAGTAGTCTCGTTCGGGGTGTCCCTGGCCCAGGCGATACCAGCCCGGAGCTCTGCGCACCTCTCACACGAGGGCCGCTAGCTGGCCCACGCCCCACTGCGCGCCCGGGCAGATGAATCGGATGAGTTAGACTGACAGTTCAGTCAGACTGCCAACTCCTGCTAGACTCAGGAGGAAGGGGGGAGGGGGGAGGGGAGTCTCGCCTGGCAATGCGGGCGTGAGGCTGGTCGCCGCGCGGCGCTAGAGGTGCTTTGCCCCGCCCCGCCCCGCCCCGCCGCGCCCCGCAGCTCTCTGCAGCCGTCCGCGCTCATTGCCGCACGCCGCGTTCCCGAGCGGAAAACAACAACAGTAGCAACAACAACAACAACACCGAAAGAGTTCCGGCGCGAAGAAGGAGAGGGGGAGGGAGGGGGCTCCAGGCTCTCCTGAGCTCGCGAGACGGCAACTGCTGGACGATGGCGGTGGTGCCGGCAGGGCTCCAAGAAAATCGAATAGGAAATTTCGCTTGAGAACAGCGGAAGTGCGAAGCACGATCCCAACCTAAACCGGAGGGAAAAAAAACACACACACACACACACAAAAACAACAACTGACGGTTGATACATAGCGCCATTTCGCCATTTCTAGTACGGTTCTTTCATCGTTCTTTCTTCTCCCGCCATTTCAGAACTTTGAAGTGCCCCATATGTATCAGAAATATGGCGCTTTAGTCTATTTACAGCAGCGGGAGTGGGAAACGCAACAGACACCCCGACTTTGCCTTTCCGTAAAATGGCTCTGAATGGTCGAGCTGATCGGGAGCCACTCGGAAATTTTAAGAATGAAAAGCGGTCACATCAGTTTTTATCTGCTCCCCGCCACTGTACATGTTTGCTCTTTCAAGTCGCTTTGCAGCCATTTCAGGGTCGATTTATCGCCAAAACGCTGCCATGAGTGTTTTATCATTCGAATCGCGAGCTACTCTACATACACGACTTCTGAAGCAGGACGCGAGTTGTTTTCTTTGCCTTTCTTTGCGCTTTGGGGACTCCGGTGAGATCCCTTTTTATTCCGCCAAGTATTCCGCGCCGCTCGGACCAGAAGCGACGACGCGGACCGACCGACCGGAAGTCGGCAAAATGAGGCGGGGCTTTCGCCTACATGAATACCGTGCGCGATGTGGCGTATGTGCGCACAGCACCGCCGCACACCGTGCAGCAAGGGTTGGGAGCGAGAGAGAGGGAGCGGGAGAGAGGGAGGAGGGAGAGAGAGGGAGAGAGGAGGGAGAGAGGAGGGAGAGAGAGGGAGAGAGGAGGGAGAGAGGAGGGAGAGAGGAGGGTGAGAGAGAGGGAGAGAGAGAGAGAGGGAGAGAGAGAGAGGGGGGGAAAGAGAGGGAGAGAGGGAGAGATGGGGGGAGGAGGAGAGAGAGGGAGAAAGGAAAAGAGAGAGACGGAGAGAGGGGGGGGGGGCACTACACACATTCTCTCGGCGAGAATGACGCCTCGGCGGCCTGCTGTCGCTGCTGCTCTGCTTTTTATTCCGCTCGCGCCATTCAATCGGACGCGGAGGCGACCAAACAACTCGCGGCGGCGGGGGTGGGGGTGGGAGAGAGAGAAAGGGAGAGAGAGAGAGAGCGATAGAGAGAGAGAGAGAGAGAGAGGGAGAGAGGGGGGGGGGAGCAAGACTCGCCGTCAGCAAAGCATCGGGGCGGCGGCCGTTGATCGCCCGATGATCTCTGTGTGTGGGCCGACCACGGCGATAGAGACGGGGTATGCCCCGCCGAAAAAAAAGCTTGCGTTCTACCCAAATTTTTGAAATCAGCGCCGATCAGGTGTCATTCATTGTTTATGGGCCGACGTGTGTGAATCGTCGCGTACTGCGCAGCAGCGAGCACCTTCGCCACGATGAATAGGTATTATTCACCATGGGTTTACCACCATAGGGAACTCGCCAGGCGGATACGCAAGGCAGTGTTGTAAGCTAACCAGAAGGAGCGAGCAAGAGAGAGAGAAGGAGAATTTCATTCAAATGACAACTCTTGACACATTCTGAAAACTCAGACGGCGACAGACCTCGCGACAGACAGCAGACAAGCAATCGCGGCTGCGCATGACGCGAGCGCCCGAGCCGCTGATATCGGGTCGTCGGGTCTTCGAGAACCCCCTCCCCCCTCCTCCTCCTCCTCCTCCCGTCTAGGCCACGCAGACAGAGGCGCAGAAAGCGGCAGAGATAATCGCCCTAGTTTGGACGCGCGAGGAAAACAACACCGCGCCGATAAAAGCCCTTGTGTGTTGTGTGTGTGTGTGTGTGTGTGTGTGTGCGCGCGTCTGTGTGTCTGTGTCAGTGCGTCTGTGTGTGCGTCTGTCTGTGTGTGTGTGCCCGTGTCTGTGGGGGGAGGGGGCGGGGGCGGCCCAAGCAGCCTGCGGACGCGCGCCTCTGGTCCCATAAGGACCACATTGAGCTACTAAAAAAAAAATGGTCCGAGAGGGAGTCGAACATGGACCTGCGGGTTGCTTCTCTTGCACGCTACCCCTCCGCTACGCAGCGGGAGGTGGAGAGAGAGCGTCAGCTGGCCCTCTTCAGCGAAGGGGCGCGCGAGCGGAGGTCCCCAAATTCCAGTTGTGGGTTAGGAAACACTATTTCCATGTATGGGTTGGGAAATTCTGGTTTGTGGTTGCAGGATTGTCAACCCGACACTAAAATTCAAGTTGTGGGTCTGTTAATGACAAACCTCTTATCCAATTCGGAATTTTTCGTTTCCAGGCATGAATTTTCTACCTTCGCACCAAAATTCCACAAGTCCACATAGACTTGAAAATTCAAATCCTTAAAAGGGATTGGCCTTTGCAAACCCACTGGGTTGGGAATTGAAAATCCCAGTTGCCGCTGGGAAATGATACACCCAACGGGCTAGGAAAATTCTTAATATTTTTTACAGTGCGGCGGACCCGGCCACCACCTGCATCGCACATATTATTACACAACAGCTGCTGACGCCAGACCATAGTAACGACTCAAACAGAAATGAGTGAACGAACACATTACAGTAGTACTATTACACGACTCGAAAGGGCTTTGATTCGTTGAACAACAGAGCACAGACCGCGCTTCCTGCTCATGTATGAAAGAGGGTGAGAAGTCTTAATATTTAGGGGGGGGGGGTGCTTATAAAGCCCCTTTACTACTCCCGATGTAACACTCTACTATCTCATAGCGCGTAGCTGACACCAAACAGACTTTATGTTATCTCCCCCCCCCTCCCCCACGAAATTCGCTCCGAAACAGACTGAAAAACAACCCATTCGACATCATCCAGGGAGAGAAGTGGCGTAAAATAGAGTGTAGTATTCCACGTCTGAAAAAGGAATCTGGAACGGAACCCGAAGAAATGGTACATCACACGACGGCCGCATGCGTGTTTCCTTCTGATTGGCCGAAGCTGATGAGGTCAGCCAATGAGCGCCCAGGTGGAAGAGGACCTTCCAGCCATGCAGTACGCGTACTCCCACACCCCCACAATTGTCATAAGGTGACGCGACGCGGTGTCGGTATCCATCATGGACATACATGGTCGCCATGAGCCCCCTGGCCGCGCCCTCCACTTCAAACTTCAGATGAGTTTTTTTTCCCGCCCCGATAAGCCCCGGCTATATCGTTAATATCGCGTCGCCAGGAGCGACCCCGAGCTCTCTAGGTGGGCGTCAGAGAGGCAGGCTGCTTATTAAAAGTTGCTGCGCACAATACGGAGGATATATCAAACGTGCGGGCGCGGTTGTTGGACCCGGCCCGCCCCTTACTAAAAGGGACACATAACAAGTGACTCACTGAAACTCCCCTCTGGCGACTCCGTCGTCCTCCCCCCGCACCGCCAACACATTGGCGCCAGGGGGGCGCAGGGGGGAGGGTTTTGGGTCCGCGTCGCGTCGTCGTCGGCTGTTTCGGCGAGCCGCTTCGCAGAAAAATTCTGCCCATGGCGTTCCAACAACAACAACAGCGGCGGCGGCAGCAGTACCGACAGCGGGGCCCTCTGGGCACCCAGTTGTTGCATGAGTCAAGGGTGCCATAACCCTCCTTTCTCCCCCAACCCCATTCTGCCTCCCGTGCCAACAAATGCCGTGCGAATCACGCTTTCGGTATTCCGCGCTGTCCGCTGTCACTTTTGCGACCTCCCAAACGGCATCGCCCCTTTCTCTCACCCTCTCCACACAACCACATTCATAGCCAAACCGCATGAAGCGGAAGCCCTGACCGAGGGGATCGACCGAGCTCCACGATGTTCACGACGGTGTTCCCCACGATGTTCACCGCAATGTTCAGCA